TTCTTTTCTTTTCTTTTCTTTTCTTTTCTTTTCTTTTCTTTTCTTTTCTTTTCTTTTCTTTTCTTTTCTTTTCTTTCTTTCTTTCTTTCTTTCTTTCTTCCTTCCTTCCTTCCTTCCTTCCTTCCTTCCTTCCTTTCTTCTTTCTTTCTTTCTTTCTTTCTTTCTTTCTTTCTTTCTTTCTTTCTTTCTTTTTTGTTGTTGTTGTGTTTTTATTTGGAGACATGTTCTTGCTTCAAGATTCAGTCTAGTCCTGAACTCACTATGTAGCCCAGGGTGGCCTCCAACTCCCAGTGATCCTCCTGCCTCAGCTTCTTTGGTGCTGGGATTCAAGGACAGCTTGAATTACATAGCAAGACCCTGTCTCAAAAAATACATGTATACATACATACATATATGCATACATACAGAAACACCCAAAAGTGTAAACATAGATGACCATTGGTGTGTCCTTCTTTTCCCCTAGGATAAAGTAAATCTGAAGGAGATTGATGATTCAGTAAACTTAGAACAAAAAGCCCCAAAGGCATGTTCTGCTCCTAGTGACCTCATTGACAAGTTGGTGGTGAATTTTGGGAATTTTTTGGAGGAGGCTTCAACAGAGGAAGCTGGAAGAAGTCAGGAAAACATTTTGGGAGTAGAAAACAATGAGTACGTGACTGCTCCTTACAGATCTGACTACCCCCCAGGGGAGAGTCCTGAGGGGTCCCTGCTTCCGACTGAGATGCCTTCCAGGAAGTCTTCAGGAACGGCAGAGGAGACCCTCTCAGAAGCCAAAGAGGAGCTCCCCGCTTCGGGTCGAAGTTTGGGACCAGACTGTCTCTGTGGGGACGGAGCAGCCAATCCATATTTGAAAAATTCAGTGACAACCAGGGAGTTTCTTGTGCTTGAAAAACTTCCAGATCATACCAAGAGTGAAGTCTAAGTGCCACCATGGTGGAGACACTCAAAATTTCAGTGTGGATGACACTTATTTAGAAAAATTACCAAGAAGACTGAGCAAGAAGCGCTGCTTTGAACATCCTCGGCTTGTTGGGCCTGGCTTTCACAGACACAAACATGCTAGATTTTTTTTTCCCCTGCATTTAATGCAGTGTCTCACTGCATAGATTGGTCTCGTAGTGATCCACCTGTGTTCAGCCTCCCAAGAGCTGGGATTACAGGCATGCGCCACCATGCCCAGTCTCAATTGCCATTGCCATCTCAGCGTGCCCTGGGGGCGGGACCAGCATGGCAGGCCCGGGGATCAAACACCCAGCCACTGTGCTCTGCCTAAGCAGGTGCCTTAGTCCTCTGAGCTATTTGGCCAGCTCAAACGTGCTAGAAAGAAGGGACTCCTAGCCTGAGCGCTGTGGAAGGAAAAAGCCATTTATTTTCTTTTATTCAGATAATAAGCTGTTGCTCAGGTTTTCTAATGCATTGACTTTGAAGGCAGGCTCCAGTTTCTGAGTGCAAAGTCCCCCCCAAAATGCCTGGCCCTCCCCAGGACTGGAGCGATGGGCACAGCCTTTGCTGGGGACCTCTCAGAGTTTCAGGAAGGACTGTGCCAGAGGACAGGTCTTTGGTTGGTACTTGGTGGTCTGGTGGCCCTGAAGTCCTGCTCCCATCAGGAGGGGCCAGGAAGTACTGTAGACTTCCAGAAAGGTGTGCTGGAGGCTCCTCACCATCTGCTAAATCTCAACAGTCCGCAGCAACACCTCAGGGTGTTTTATTGTATTTTATTTTTTAGCACTACAGATTGAACCAGTGTCCTGCATTCATCTAGGGAGGGCTCTGCCACCAGGCTGCACCTCCAGCCCTTGGCCTCTGGTTTGTGGGGAACTGACTACCCATAAACCTCAGAAGGAGAGACGCTTTCCTGGGGGTGGACTCCAGGGTGGGCAGCAGGTCTGCTCCCGCCGCAGGCCCTTTCCCACCCTTGCTGCCCTTGTGCTGGGAATAGAAGCACAGCAAACCTGGAAGGGACTTTTGGATGGCTGCCGCCTCTTCACGCTGGCTCAGGGCCAGCGGTGCTTTCTGAGTGCATCCTCCAGAGGCCCCTTCTCAGCGCCAAGCAGGCCTGGAATGCGCAGTGCTTCATCATGAGGACTTCCTTCTGCTTCTTTGCTCCGGCTGAGCAGAGCTTGTGATGGCAAGCCTGCGTGGAAAGTGCTGGGTGCAGGACTGACTCTTGGAGCCCTCGCTTGGCTCCTACCTATCGTGGGACATAACTGGGAACCTGGGGACCTCATAAAGGGTGGACAAAGGGCCCTAGAGGCCACAGAATTCTTTTTCTAGGAGAGTGTAAGCAGTTAGTAGAGAGGGCTGCACACACATGAGCTGTCACAGCCACAAAGTCAGGTGTGCACAACCTTCACTTTACCTTCTTATCGCTGAAATTATACTGCAGCTAAAATTAATCATTTCAAAACAGTGGCTGCCAGCTTGGTGACGTCTGGGTTCCTTTGGCTCTGTAATTCAGTCATTGTTGGGACCCTGATGGGCGCTGACGGTGCGTAGTGGAGCAGCACCCTGGGCTGCGGGGCCCTTCCTCCTGCCCTCTGGGGTCACGTACTTGTCCAGCATGGATTTGCTGCTGGCCTCGCCTAGCCTGTCGCCTTGCCTGTCCTGGTTCGGTCACCTCTCACTCCCCTCACTGTGTGCTTACTGTGGTCACAGGAGGATGTGACTTCTGCTGAGCTTTCCCTCCTCATTGGTCTCCAGTGATCCCTCCCTGGGCTCATCGCCCCCAGTTACAGAACAGTGGCTGCTGATAAACGAGGCAAGCGGGAGGCCCATGGCTGGACGCTGGGGAATAGGATCTTTGGGACTCCGCCAGCCTTCTCTTTGCTTTGCTCCCTAGGCCAAGAGTAGAAAGAACAGCTCCCCTGTCATGTGACCCCCAGACCCTGGTTGCCTGCCATCTGCTCCCAGCCCTACGGCTGTGGCTAGGCCCCTTGTGAGCCTCCAGACCCTGTTCCTAGGGTCCCTGGTGCACTCTTCACTTGGGGTGTGTGCATTTGCTGGGGAGTTCTCGCCTGCTGTCCCCATGTGGGCTGGGAGGGCAGCAAAGGTTCCTTGCTGCCTCCCCCGCGCACCCTCCTCTTGATCTCCTGTCCAACCCACCTGGCAAATCTGCTCAAATTCTGCGGGAGGCTGGTGGCCAGGAAAGCACCCTGAGCCAGTCGGGTCACTTGTGTCTCTTTCCTACAGATGAACATAAAACCCGTGTCCAGTGGCTGGGTTTAGAGCAGGGTCCCAAAGGGCTCGGAGAGTGGGCTGCAGAGATGCAAGGGCCCCTCCGCCTCCCTTCCTGGCCACTTTGTTAAGGCTCAGAGCGGCTTAGTCACCTGCCGGGCAGCTCTCAGCCACCACCCTGGCCTTGCTCTTTCTTTCTCCCTTGCTCGCCTTTAACTTTGCCGGCTGCTGCTTTCCTCACCACTCCCAGGACGTCCCAGCTCTTCTTTCTTTCTTTTTTTAAAATTTAACTTAATTTTATTTTGAAGAGCAAAAACAAATAGGAAAAAAAGATAGAAACAGGGTAACATATAGCAATTCATGTTATAGATCTTCAAAACAGGAATAGCTAATTAACAGTGGTTGTTGTATTATCTTTTTATCATCAAATTTGTTGCTCAGATTAAGAGATATGGTTATGCTAGATTGGGGAAATGATTGAATATTGGCGCTTGCTTTCAAGAAATCATAATTTTTTCTTTGTCTTTTTGTTTTAATGTATCATAGAGTATAATAATTGATAATTAGAAAAGGTACGCATTTAGAAGACCAAGGTTTCAACCATGGGTTTTGTGTTGCACACTTTTTTCTTTTCTGTGTTTTAGGGAAGGGTCTGCAGGGTGTTCAGGGTCTCACTACTAGACTGAATGCGTGATTCTCCTGTTCACAGCCTCCCAAGTGCTGGGATTACAGGCACCTGCCACCACGCCCAGTCTCAATTGCCATCTCAGCACTCTCCGTGCACAGCAGGCTTGGGGAATCGAACCCTGGCCCCTGGCCCCTGCTCCTGCTTGCAGGTGCTTTAATCCGCTGAGCTATTTGGCTGGCCCTGTATTGCATGTTGCTGTCCTCAGTGTACTTGCTCAGATCACCGATATCAGCACACAGAGTTAGTCAAAGTGAAAATTCTAAACATTATCTGCTATTTTTTTTAAAAAAAACTGATGGAAATCATGAGTACAATCATCTCAGCCATCCTGTATATATACTTGCATGTATTCCCTCCTTGCTTTTTTCCTCTCTCCTTCTTTCTTTCATCTTTGTTGTTTAATCCTTAAGTTCAGTTTCTTTCTGTTTTACTATATCTTTTATACCTTTCTGGTTTTATTTATTCTTTCAGGTTCTTATACTAGGGAGACAATATGATATTTACACACGTGGGTCTGATTTATTTCGCTTATGAGTACAGCCTCTAGTCTCATCCACTTACCTATGAAGGCTTCAACTTTGTATTTCTTTATAGGTGAGTGATACTCACTTGTATAAAAATAGCACATCTTTTTCATCCATTCAAGTGATGGGCATTTGGGTTATTTCCAAGATTTGGCCATCACAAATCTTCCTATTCCTTCTTTTATTTCTTTTCACACCCCTCCGGCTCCCCATCTGTTCGTCACTGGCCAGATTAATTTGCTACTTCTAAGCGGAAGCGAGACTGCAGGTCTCTACTTGGGCTCAGGTGGCCCAGGACGAGCAGAAGGCCTGGCCTGGGGGTTTCTCCTTTCTCAAGTGTCCATCTCCAGCCTCTTCCCAACCCCCACGGAGGACTCACATGGCTGCCTCCAGAAAGCCGGCACTGGGTTTTTAAAACACAGATGGTTTTCTAGGTCATTCTTTTAAGTTTTTTCCTGTTATCATGAAAGAAAGGCCACTAATAGCCCACTGACAGCTGTTGATAGGGTTCCCAAGCCCTGGAAAACTCTCAAATGGAAATTGTATTTGTTTTCTTTAATGTTTGCTAACACAAGTCATATTTTTACCCACATTAGGTCTCTGACAGAAAGCAGAGCACACGGATGGCCTCCTCTGGCCAGAGTCATTCCAGGACACTGCGGGGGGAGGGGTTCACTGATGCGGAAGGGAAGTGTCACCAGAGGCTTCTGAGCTTGCAGAGCTCGGGCCCTGGAGAGCCCTGGGCATGGCCCCGGGATGTGGCAACTCTCAGACCTGCTGCTTGGAGACCACGGTGGTTGGAAACAAAACCAAATGATACTTTGTGACATGAAAGCCCATGAAGTCGGAATTTTAGTGTCCACACATAAAGCTTAATTGACACCGAGCCACCCCATTATTCAGCACATCAGCGTGGCCGCTTCACCCAGCAAAGGCAGACCCGAATAGTGGAAACGGAGACTGTGGCTCCCATGGGCGCCTTGCAGAGTTGTTGGACACCTGCAGTACTTCACGCAGTGAGGCTCAGACTGTGTTAGGCCTTAATTTTTAATTAGCTGCTACTTAAATGAGGACAAGTCAGTGTTTGGGATCTCAGCTAAATACATAAGGACACCTGCCTTGGAAGGGCACGCACTGGCTAACCCTGGTCCCCCTCTCTTCCCCTTCCCTGCCCACAGCTGAGGTGGCAAGTTGGCCTCCCCTACACCAGTACTCTGCTCCAGCTCACAGGCAGGAGACAGATACCTGGACGGGGCTCTCAAGGCTGAGCTGGAGGGCGCTACCGGCCTCTAGTGCTTAGAGCCTGGCTGTACTCATCTCTCCTGCAGAGTGCAGAATGGCTCTCAGCAGTAAGAAGACCCCCACGCAGGCCCGCGGTGTCTGCAGTGCCACAGTTGCCTAGTTTCGGCCTTCGGGACCCATCGCGTTCACATTCCAGAGAGAAATCCAGTTCTTTAAATGCCAACTATTGATATCATTTTCAGTCTATTTGTGGTCTAATCTGGAAGTGCCTCGAAGCATGTGTTCACCTGCTTG